TTTGATGAATAAAGGTGCATCTAATCGGCCTCTACCTCATCAATTCTGGAATGTTATGACCATAGGTATTGACTTTCTCAAGAATGGCAAAGAACTAACACTTTGACAAATTCACATCAATGCTGAAGCCACCAGCGTTTTACTTAGTGCTTGAGCTAAAAGGAGTACAACAAAGTCATTTAGCCTTAGTTGCCAAAGGAGATTTTGGATGGATTGCACATAACACATGAAGGTGTTGACAAGGTGAGGAAATCAAAGGTTGATCTCTTGATGACCCAAATCACTCAGTTTGTCATGGTGGTGAAGGTCCAAAAGAGTTGTTTTATAAGATGATGACACTTGTTGCTAATATTCATGATCTGGAGGCAATGACTTAGATGACCATGTGATTGTGAAGACCATGTTCAATCTGGTTTTGTCTCTCAATGGCCTCAGCTCTTCCTAAGCTTAGATGATTGACGAGATCCTAACATATGGGTATGTTAAGCCTCAGGATCAAAGGTTCCTGACTGAGAGACCCCCCGACCGACCCTTCCAGGATCTCCCAGGGGCTATACCCATCGGGTACGCTCACGCGTACCCTCAGGCCAAGGACTCTGGCAGAGCCCAAGCGCGACCGCCACTTTTGTTCGGGGCTCGAGGGCTCGACCAAGCCCTAGGCTTCCGATCAACGGAAGCCTGGACCCGATCCTTGGCATCCTCCCGGCCGCCGACACAAGCCAAGGCCCGGGAATGAGAAGGTATGCCCTGAGCCACCAAGAATCGGGGGCTCCCTGGCGCTGCTTCGCAGGCGCGACGCCGTCAACCACTCCTCTGACAGGGTCATGCACGGGGTGTGATGCAAGAAGACAAACTCTTCAGTGGCCTCCAGGGGCTCCTAGGCCCACATGTCAGCCCCTCGAGCCGGCCTCCTTCTCCACCAAGAAGCCTCCAAAAGGCGCACCCGGGGGAGGCCGGTCCAAGCCGACACAGCCTATCACTCAGTGTGTCAGAACAAAGTAGCCGGACGACGCCCAGAGCTTCTTCGGCTCCACGACATCGCTACGGTCCACAGAACGCCACGGCAAGACCCTCCTAGACTTCGGCGCATGTAGACCATACGCTTAACTCCCCCAAACCGCCATATACACGACCTATCTCAGAATATAAGGGATAGGTCGGATCCTAAGATGGGGGAGGGCCATCCCAAACAAACCATTCGCGTCCTCACGGTTCCACTCGAGCTCTGCACCGAGAGCAGAGCAACCTAGAGAGAGGCACCGAGAGCTCCACCACTGCATCCGTTGTCTTCCTCCTCTCTGATGAGGGGGAAGGATCCACCGGTAGTGAGGCGTCCCTAGGATCAGCACCGAGCGATCTCCTACCAAATCTCTCTTTCTCCTGTACACTCTGTTGTAACCCCCAGATTTTGGGTGCTCTTGAGTATAAGGATCATCAGCTGCTGGACGTAGGGCATCGATTGGCCCGAACCAAGATAAACCGTTGCGTCCCCTCTGCGATTCTTGTGTTCTGGAGTCCACCCGAGCCACCAGAGACATGCACTCTGACACCACCTCGAACAACAATGCTTGCCGTAGTTCCAACCCCACGACAATGGTCTTGGAGTCCTTACCTCTTCCTAAGCTTTGATCCTTCTCTAGCGAATGGATTCAATCTGGTTCTATCTCTTGATGGCCTCAACTTTACGTTTTTTCTAAACCAACTCCTCATGCAAGCTATTCAGAGCTTCGCGAGGTCCTCCTCATCGTCCTGGGTTTTGTCGTCTTTAGGGTTCTCGGGTGCCCTGCGTGCACCTTTGGGCAAGTCGTCATCCTGAGGTCGCCCTCCAGTGGCTACAGTGGACTCAAGTCTCCATCACCCTAAGCAACCACTCTTGGTCTAGGCAAAGGTGGTGTGGACAAGCTAGGAACCGGCCGCGGATCCTAAACTCCTACGGAGGTTGAGCTGGAGGCCACGTACCCGGTGGGTGGTTATGTGGTTAGTGGCCTTCTAGCCATGGGTGGTGCCAACTGTACATGGGGGCTGCGCTTCGCCCCCAGACCCTCGACACGAGGCCGGCGAGGGTAGGGGTCGATGTTGCCCCATAGGGTGAAAACAGAGGTGGCGCAGGATACGAGGCGTGATAAAATTGGAGTAAATGACAATTAATTCTCTGTCTCTACAGTCGTGCTGGCACGGTATTTATAGCCCATACTGAGACATTAGACATGAGGCAAAATTACATACACAAAGACATGCAGGGGAATATTTCGGAAATAACTGAGGGTAATTTGGACTTATGACACTTTGACTCCAACCACTCACTTAACGTCATGGGGGCCACCGTTTGTGGGGAGCACTTCCGGCCGCCTCCCGGAGGTGGTTGCGCCTTGGCGCAGCTTCGGAGTGGTGAAGTTGCTCGTGGATGTGGTAATAGACGGTGAAGGGGGGTTTAGAACAAATGGTGATGAATTTTCTGTAGTGAGTCAAAACTTAGAGATTGACCACATGGTATATATTTATAGAAAATAAAAGGGATTAAGTGTCTATATAATAACATTCTCAAAATAGTCTAGTAGTACTCAACATCACAAAAAGAAAAAGACACTGGCCAAGGTGCGATTGGAGCTGTCATCTGAGATCAAGTCGGCACCTTCCGAGGCGGCATGGCGAAGCCATAGCTTGTGGCGAAGGTGTGGCCTATGCTAGAAGCCGGGGTATCCAAAATTTGCATGTTGAAACAGACAGCCAAGAGTTAGTGAAGCTTTGGGGGATGGGTGAGCTGCAGCGTTCGCGTGTTTCACCGATCATCAGAGAGATTAGAGAGTTATGTACTGTTTTTCATGCCTTCTCTCTGGTGTATGCTAATAGATCTTGTAATCATGTAGCCCATACTCTAGCTAAGCAGGTCTCAAAAGGCAACAGGGTGGGTGAGTGGCATTCAGCCCATCCTGCATTGCCAATCTGTTGACTGAAGATTATATGCCTGCTGTTCCCTAATATATGAATGAATCAGAGTCGCGCAAAAAAAAAAAAAAAAAAAAAAGATACTGAAGATGGTACCCGGGCGTATGTAGGTTAGGGAAAACATACAAATCTGATGACCCAAACCGACCGTTGGCGGCCTCATCACGTGCGGGTAAAGGTAGATGAGACGACATAATCAGCTGCCTTTTCCTACCTGATCTCTGCCATAATTCCCCAACTAAAGCCGTCAGCCACAGAGAGGGAAGGGCAAACAGACAAGCAGAGCAGATTGTTTATCACTACTTCACTAGCACTAATACCCCAAGCAGAGTATAGTAAGAGTAATTAATTAAGCCCCGAGAGGACACAGCAACATCCGCTGTAATCAACACGCTAATCGCGGGCCACGGGACCCGAGTGGCGCCGAGTGCGCGCGCGCGCCCGGAGCGACCCGGCCACCCGCTCGTGCAGCGTCGTAGACCACGCCGGGGCGGCGGGCTCACCGTGTATGCGTATGGGTATGGGACGCACGCACCCGCGGCATTATTTTTTTGTACGGTCTCCAAGGGCCATGCTCCTCCGAGCCCGCATGCATGGTAATGGTATGGCTGGATGGCCAAGTCTTGGAGACCTGCCCTAGCTAGCTACAGTAAGCATACAATACAATATACGAAGTGGACACAACATCAGAAGCAACAACCCTTTTCTATGAAAGAAAATCTCTAGTACATGCCATCGATCGAGCGCTGCTTCATCAGGATGTTCTTGGTACCAGGACACATTCGGAAGAGAATGTTTCATGTCTTACTTTTTTGCGCGTTTTTTTTTTTAATTTGTTATAAATGATGTATTGGCAAGTTATGCCATGATCTCTCGCACGAATTTTCACTACACTGCGGATCAAACACGGTGACTCCTCGGTCCTAATATTGGGTTAGATATCCATGGCCGTGGAAATGTAGTTCGATGACATTGGACCAATTAAGTTACACTTGAATACTAACATATACTCCCTCCGTTTCAAATTATAAGTCACTTTGACTTTTTATCTAGATGTATATCAAAATGGATGTATCGAAAAAATCATAGCGACTTATAATTTGGAACGGAGGTAGTACATGAATCTGGGAGCCGAGATTTGATTGGAAGACCCAGCAATAGTGAGTTGCCAAAGACAAGAGAGGATGGGAGACGCCGATGAAAAGATGGGTTGCGCTGGAGCTGAGCAGATTTTTAGGCTGGCGCGGCTTACATACATTTTTTGACAAAAGAAAAAGAAAGGAAGCTTGCATGCATGCTCTGGTGTAGAATAATGCAATGCAAGAATTATTTGTACCAAACTATATAATTGTATACAGAGAAAAGGAACATTTTTTCAATGTAATATATGCTTATTATTACAAGTAATTGTTGCATCCAAAATATGTAATGGTAATAATAAAACAAGTAAGAATCGGATGATGTGGTGAGAAGATCTAAGTCATGAAACATGCATCCAACGGACAACACGTTAAGTTGGATCTTTTAGGGACATCACTCAAGTGATGCACATACTTTCCCTGCCCCAAAAAAGTGATGTCCATGCATACATGCATTGCCCCGGCCCCGGCCCACTCATAATGTGTGCAGGCAGAACACTTTCTTCATTCGTGTATATGCTCGCAAGTGGCAATGCAAGCTCCTCCTCCCTACTTTCCACAAGATTTTTCACCCCGTCTTTTGATCGCTCGCTCTTTGGTTTTCTTTTTCTTCTGGTGTGCTAGCTGTGAACCCAAACAACAAGAATAATAAAATAATAAAGAAAAGGGTAGGAGCCACGTAGTACGTACAGCCCCAGAGGCCCGGCATGAAAAGAAAGGGCGCTGGGTTTCTTTATGCCCCAGCTGCTGGAGTGCTGTCTCCCCGCGGGCCGTCGCCTCTCCGTCGTCGCGCGTCGATCTCTGCATATATACGACACCACCCCTCCCCCGCAATGCACACAACACACCACTAGCTGCTCCAACCAAGCAAGCAAGCGAGCAGCACCACGCCACACACACAAGCTAAGCTAGTTAATGGCTGCGGGAGGAGGAGGCGGCGGCGGCATCGCCGACGAGAAGCAGGCCCCTGCCGAGGCGTTCGGCGGGCACCTGCAGGAGGCGGCTGATATGATGGAGGAGGAACAGCACAGCGGCGGCGTCAAGTCCCGGCTGTCAGGCCTGCTGTGGCACGGCGGGAGCGCCTACGACGCGTGGTTCAGCTGCGCGTCGAACCAGGTTGCCCAGGTGCTGCTGACGCTGCCCTACTCGTTCGCGCAGCTGGGCATGCTGAGCGGCATCCTGTTCCAGCTCTTCTACGGCCTGCTGGGCAGCTGGACGGCGTACCTGATCAGCGCCCTGTACCTGGAGTACCGCACCCGGCGCGAGCGCGACAAGGTGGACTTCCGGAACCACGTGATCCAGTGGTTCGAGGTGCTGGACGGGCTGCTGGGCCGGCACTGGCGCAACGCTGGCCTCGCCTTCAACTGCACCTTCCTCCTCTTCGGCTCCGTGATCCAGCTCATCGGCTGCGCCAGCAACATCTACTACGTCAACGACCGGCTGGACAAGCGGACGTGGACCTACGTCTTCGGCGCCTGCTGCGCAACGACGGTGTTCATCCCCTCGTTTCACAACTACCGGGTCTGGTCCTTCCTGGGCCTCGTCATGACCACCTACACCGCCTGGTACATCGCCGTCGCCTCGCTCGTCCACGGCCAGGTCGAGGGCGTCCAGCACTCGGGCCCTACCAGGATCGTGCTCTACTTCACCGGAGCCACCAACATACTCTACACCTTCGGGGGACACGCAGTCACAGTGTGAGTAGTCTGTCTAACTATATATATATATATATATATATATATATATATAGCTGTCTTAGCTTGCTATATATGCTGCTGGCTGCTGCTTAATTAATTAGTACGTACACCATTAGTAGTAGTTTAGTATTATTAATCTGTCTCTTGCTTACTCCTAATCCTAGCAGTAGCACTAGTAGTTAGCATGCAACGGTCACTGATGGTCGCCGGCCGGCCGTGCGCGCACGGCTCGGCACATGCATGCATGCTGCTGGGAATGATGCGGGCCCCATGTGTTTCTGGGGGACCACTGACATGCATGCATGCATGCATATGGGCTAACATGTGCATTGGGGACGAATTGGCCAAGACAAAGATAAAAGCGATCCAAGATGGTGCTGCTCAAAATGACAAACATCAAGTTTTATACTCCAATTAGCTAGCCGACCGATTCATCTTGGAGCCGTCCAAACCACACCAGTCCAAATCAACTGGTGTGCTAGCTAGTTGAGTACGTACTTGTTTCAACATTATCCATGCGTGCATACTACGTCTTCAGCTAGTACTAGTACTCCCTCAATCCCAAATTGTAAGTCATTCCAAGAATCTTGGAGAGTCAAAGTTTTTCAAGTTTGACTAAATTTATATAACAAAATAATAATATTTATCATATCAAGTAAGTATCATTAGATTCTTCATTAGTTATATTTTCATATTATACCTATTTGATGTCATCAATCTTTGTGTTTCTCTCTATAATTTTAGTTAAACTTGAAAAAGTTTGACTCTCCAAAATTCTTAGAATGACTTACAATTTGGGATGGAGGAAGTAGCTAATAATGTCATTATTCACCACTACGTACTCATATAGGACTGGGAGTAGGATCATCAGACGCATATGTACGGTGCTAACGTAACACGTACTAGTAGTTCCTTTTATTTGTAACATCAAGGACTGAACGTTCACAACAAAGAATTGTATTACAAACAATGCACAGAGCACAGAGAAGCGACTGAGCAAGTTTGTGGCCCATGCTGCTGCTCTCGGCTCTCACTTAAGGGCGTACAGACCCCCAACAAGGACAAGACCGTTGCATGCGTAATGCATCATCCGCGTGCTGTTGCGGCCAACCAGCGGCTCCTTCCTTCCACAGTTGACCTGACGGGTCAACAATCCGTCCCCTGTTCACTTTTGCCCATCATATGAACAGTTCAACACCCATCCACAGCACAGATGCATGCATGCATGCCACCGACACATGGGGCCCACCCTGCCACGAGGCACCATGACTCCTTGCTTCCGTTCCATTGCCTGCTTCTCGTTCTCGAGACGACCCGTGCAGCATATGCCTGCCATTGCTTCATTTTGACTACGAGTACTACTCTATTGCTTTTTCTAAATAATTACTACTAATAACTGCATCCATATATGCTGCAGGGAGATCATGCACGCGATGTGGCGTCCTCAGAAGTTCAAGGCCATCTACCTGCTGGCGACGCTGTACGTGATGACGCTGACCCTCCCCTCCGCCGCCGCCGCCTACTGGGCGTTCGGCGACGAGCTGCTGACGCACTCCAACGCGCTGGCGCTGCTCCCGCGGACTCCGTTCCGCGACGCCGCCGTGGTGCTCATGCTCATCCACCAGTTCATCACCTTCGGCTTCGCCTGCACCCCGCTCTACTTCGTGTGGGAGAAGCTCATCGGCCTCCACGACTGCCGCAGCCTCTGCAAGCGCGCCGCCGCCAGGCTCCCCGTCGTCGTCCCCATCTGGTTCCTCGCCATCATCTTCCCGTTCTTTGGCCCCATCAACTCCGCCGTCGGATCGCTCCTCGTCAGCTTCACCGTCTACATCATACCGGCGCTCGCGCACATGGTCACATTCAGGTCGCCACAGTCGCGGGAGGTACGTATGACCGTACTTGCATTGTTATTGCCTTTATTCGCTCATTCATACTAATCTTCTTCTTCTACTACTACTACTACTATCATACTACTCTACCCCAACACATCATGCAACATGTACAACAGTAGTACATACACTGTGCAGCTTTAATTCTTGTCCATTTCGACACATATGTATAACTGCATGCATCCATGCTGCTGTCTTGATCGGCCATCAACTTGACGAGACAGTTTCTTGGATGTGCATGGCTACACCGGGCTCCATGCAAAGAGATAGCTAGCTAGTCGCCATTGTCGCATGCATGCAGTCGCCAACAACTTAACGTTGCAGAGACGATATATAGACATGTTGTCGGTCGATGTAGGACAGCTAAAACTGCATGCATGCAGTTTGCTACTAGAAAACACGTACGGCCCACCCCTGTCCATCACCTGGGTGCGTGCTATGCCTAGCTGCTGCTGCTGCTGCTGTATGCGCAAGCGCAACCCGGCCGGCCAATCGATGAGCTAGCCTGCTCACGCTGCATGGTGAGGCGCGTCGGTGGCCATGCATGGCTTTGTCTTAATACTTGTACAGCACACTGATTGGACTCCATGCAAACCTGTAGCGAGATCTCGTAACATCCACCCACAGACCGATCTAGCTATACATACATACATAGGCCTTGTTTAGATTGTCTCAAAATTCCAAATTTTTTCACTTTCTCCATCACATCAATTTTTGGAAGCATGGATGGAGCATTAAATGTAGGTAAAAAAAATAACTAATTACACAGTTTTGTTGTAAATCACGAGACGAATCTTTTGAGTCTAGTTAGTCCATGATCGGACAAAGTTTGTCAAATACAAACAAAACGTGCTATAGTATCCAAATTGAAAAAATTTACAATCTAAACAAGGCCATACAAATATATAACAAGTACTAGTAGTATACACATATGCGTTTTCTAGTACTGGTGCAGTCAGCGTCGTGTCACTGAAGGCAAGACAGAACTGCAGCGACGACAGCACGCAATTCCTTTTTCAGCACGCAAGTGGTGGTGATGAATAATAAAACCAGCTAGCGTACTGGAAAGCCGCGCACAAGGGTGCAGCAGAGACGAGCATGAGCCTTTGTACCTTGTGGTGTCCGGGAGCTCTTGGCATGGATGGAGCAGGCGCTCCTCCATGCAGACATAATGCTTGCTTGGGCGTATCGAATGGGAGGGCATACACCATGCAATGATGCAGCCCACCATGTCTGAGAAACAACAAAAAGAAGCAGTAGTGGTGGAAGGAACACTTGAGAGTGCCTGCTGGGCTCTCAGCAGTCACATCCAATGCACTAGACACCCCACTTTGACATCAGTAGCTAGGATGGATAGCTCATTATATATGTCGTTTCATTTTCCCCATTATATATATATTTTTTCGCTTGATTGGTGATTACATAGTACTAATAACAGTGGTTTACACGACTGCAGAACGCCGTGGAGCGGCCTCCGAGGTTCGCCGGCGGGTGGACAGGCGCGTACGTGATCAACTCCTTCGTGGTGGCGTGGGTGCTGGTGGTCGGCTTCGGCTTCGGCGGCTGGGCCAGCATAACCAACTTCGTGCAGCAGGTCAACACCTTCGGCCTCTTCGCCAAGTGCTACCAGTGCCCGCCGCATATCACCGCCCCGCCGGCGGCTCCGGCCTTCATCACGCCGCCACCCATGGCCCCGGCACCCTCCATGCCACCGGCGACGGCGTTCAATGCCACCGGGCTCTTCCCTACGGTACCAGCCCCGGCTCCGGCTCCGGCGCCGATGATCAACTTCTTCCTTCGCCACCACCACCACAGGCACCACGGCGGCCGCCACGGCCTGTGACGACGCGCTATATATGGCTCTGGCCGTGCATGCCGCCACGTACGGCAGATTAATGTACTCGATCGATCCAGTTTGCAGTAGTAGTTTTAGCTAGTTATTGGTCATCAGCACGCAGCAAGGTGCAAATTAGTCTGATTAGTAAAAGTTGTGTGTCGTCAAATGCCCTCTTGTACGTTCAGATAAAAGATCGAGATCGAGCTGGCTGAGTCTGGCCGGTGACAAGGCTAGGTACCACTAGCTATATCATCATATGTACCCGTAGCATGCATGCATGCCAAGCATTGAGATGATACGTTTGGAGTCCCTTGTCCTGTACCGTGTCCTTGTGTGGAGCTGCTTTCGAGAAAGAAGCTAAGCAGAAAAAGAAAAAGAAAAAGCGAAATGGAATGTTGTTGTTATATTCTCCTCTCACGCAGTCATATGCCGGCCTAAGCTAGCGCTATGTTTTCTTGCCACTGCTTCACTGTGTATACTAGTATAAAGGACGGAGCTTTGTTGAGCACTGTCCACACCGAGAAGTGGTGTGTGTACCTGAAACACGGTGAGAACCTTGTCCATATATGTACGTAGTACAGGGTAAGTGGGGAACAGTATCATGAATTCTATAATGCCAAGTGCTCTCCACTTTTTTTTCCCTTTTTTTGTGCGTGTGTTGAGAATCAAGTGCTCTCTCCACTCTAAACTTGAGTTCTGGGCACTGTTGTTGGACGGGGGTGCCGAATACACGGTGTACGAGTAAATCAGAGAAAATAAAGGAGCTTGGCCTCCTTTTGATTGAAAATGAACCCCGTTTGATTGCGCTGCTGGGCCTGGTCTACAAACTTTTAGAGACGAAGAAGACTACACACATGCCAGTAGTGTAATGTAACATCGTTTACGACGATATATATGTACACAGTACACACATACATTTTTATTAATGTCATCATGTTGAGAAACAGAACACTCATACATTTTTTTAATTTCATCATCTTGGGCAGCTTGTTGTCTAATCCAGTCTAAATAAATGTATATCTGCAAACCCCAATGAGGTTTGTCATGTGAAAAACCAAGAGATGTCTCTCTTCATAATTATTAGCAGACGGATAAATTAATCCTAGACAGATCGATCTGCATCTAACTCTTGCCAACTTTAATCAGATATTAGAATTACAGATTTTTATGGGTCCTCAAAGAAAGACATGGGACTGAATATTTACACTACACCACAACACTAATATAGCGTCACACGTGTGTCGTTATAAGTTCACTAATACCGGTGAACCGTTGGTCGGTATAGTTGGCCCACAGATGTAGTGTCGGTAAATGTACCTTTTACGTTGAACTATCGGTCGTTATAGATATTTAGTTGTACAGTCTAACCGTCGGTCGGGATAGATAAGAAAAGAGAACGAACCTTTGGTCGGTATAGGACGGTGCCTCTGGCGCGCTCTGAAAAAAATAAAAAAGGCCCGTTCATTGGAAAATAAAGATGGGCCTTCACGCCAGCAGCCCAACTCAACACCAACTCCCTCAACCCTAACTCCCATGTCCAACTCCCCCCTCTCTCCCAATCTTCCAAAGCCGCCGCCCTACTCTTCTCTCAGTCTCTTCTCTCGCCTCGCCTGTAGATCGAAATTCGCCCAGCGCCACGGCGAGGGATCAAGATCCATCCAGCGCCGCCGCGTAGACCTTGAGATCTTGCCGGTGCCGTGTACCACTTCTCCCTTCTAAAGGCCTCCGGCTGCTTCCTATAGCCGGGCGGGATTCGAGGATGAACCGTCGGATCCAGGGTGAGCGTCCAGAACCGCGACCTGCCATCATCTGCTCCTGCTGCTTTGGAGGTACGTGAATCATTCGCGTGCTGCTCCGTCATGGGCTCTTCTTATAGGATTGGACCATGGAGACGACACGATTCTTTGGGGCTTGCCAGGTGGGTCCGCCACTGTCGCGACGAAAGCAGCAGCAGCAAGCAGATCTTGGTGCCCTGGTGTACAGGCACGGGTGGCCGGCATACGGAGCTTGGATCCAGCACGCATGGGTCTCGCCTGGCTGTCTCCTGTTCAGCGTGGTCGGCGCTCTCAAGCTTTGCCAGCTATGACGAATTGTTGGCATGCTGCTCTGTGGTGAGGCTGAGCGAAAGCTCTATTTAATTCCTATAGTAGTTGTTTTGTATACACGTAATACAGTTAGTGTATGCGCATAGTTGGTTTTTAATAATACATATAATACATGAAATATAAGTGGTGTCAGTAGTTTATGTGCCACATCCCTTTTGTACTCTTCAAAAAGGAAGCTTTGTAGGAGTTCACACAATCCTGCGCCTCCTTCCCTTTATAATGTGCAGAGTACACACTATCATGTAGAGAGAGTTCACAATTTGATTCATGTTCACAGTTTCTGACTAAAAGCAGGAGTTCAGACTTTGATTCCTATTCACACTAACTGACTAAAAAACAGCCATTTCACATTAAGACTCACACTATCAGGTACCATTTCAGAGAACATATACACTAGTTTTCAGATAATGATAGCAACAGGTAGCACAGATATAGAGTAACATACTAGTACTACATAGTTAACTAGTTGTGATGACAACAATAGGTAAGGAGTCATGATGGCAGCAACTCGTCTCATCTTGATCTTCTGGTTCGCCAGGTACTCATAACTGCAGAGAAGGCAGCATACACTTAGAAATGACAAGCAATTCAGTTAGACTGCCTTTGAAAGCTAGTTTCAGAACTTCAAAAAATAAGCTAGTTTCGGAGTATTGCATATTTGCATCTGTGAGTTGGTGTTAATTGTACATAATTGTGATAGGTTGGTACTTTTGTAGGAACTTTTCTTTGAAGAATTTGAAAGGCCCAATTCCTAGAGAGATTGGTTAATTGACAGAGCTAAATAAAATCTATGTTTCACTATATGCTTTCATGTGAATTCATGCTTTTCATTTGCTGCAAGGTGTTGACTTGATTTTCTTACTTGAGTGCAGTTATATTTAGTATGATAACTTCCAATTTATGATTAGATTTTAGATAATTTTTGGCTATTTGGTTTAGGGGTGGCTGTATTTGAATTTTTCTAAGTGATTTGTCCATGTATGTGTTGTAGATAAGCATACCCTCTAACATGTAGCAAACCTTGTCAGATTAGCTAAGCTAGGGCACTAAGCACTTATGTTATAGGACTTGTATGCTTTGGGCAGGATTACATCATTGCACCCTGCTGGATTTTAGGAGCTCAAATAATGAGTAATACTATACATAGGCTATGGTTCGCAGAAAAAGAACACTGGGCTGACCATTTGTGAGCCTCCCAGCATTCTGCCTGAAGAATCATGGCGTCATTTGTGAATTGACAAATATGACTGCTGCTTGCAACTATAGAAATGAAAGTTAGAATAATATTATTGGCAGACTATCTCCAACTTTGCTAAAAGTTGTCGCTAATTGGATTCATATTGAATTTCAGAGCCATCCTACAAGGTGCTAGGCAGCATACCTGATGGTGTCAACAAGTTAAAGTGCTCATCGAAGCTGTATTTTGTTTTGAACTTGTTAGAGATAAGACTATGAGTTTGCTGTTAGTGAAATTTCAGCATTGAGCTTTAGGTGTTAGTGAGCTAAGCGTCACAAATGGTGGTTGTATGACTTTTTGGTCATAGGAGGTAGAGGTAGAGATGTTGTACCTATATGATGTTCACTTTGACCTTACATTGGGCTAGTAGCACCCATATGAATGAATCAGTGTTATTGTTTTATGCTCATATTAATCAATGCCCAAGTTTGTATGATTAATGTGTATTGTAATGAATGTCTCTGTGTTGATAATAGATAATTTGGGGGTCATTAAGAAATTCAAATTAGTAACATATATATTGTCTCTATGTCAAGGTTTGTTACTAAAAGTATTTATAGCCTCAGACCATTTGTCGCTATTTATAGCCCCTAAGGCGTCAAACTGTCAGTCGCTAAAAACATGTCGGTCGGCATAGGCTATACCGACGCCACTTTCAGCGACTCCAAGTAAGTGTTGGCGTAGATCTATACCGACCGATAGAGCGTCGCTATATCGACCTATACCGACCGACGGTACGTCGTTATTCTGGGGCTGTGGTGTAGTGTTAATTGTATCATAGCAACACATGGGTAGAAGGAAACTTAAAGTTATGATATATCTACTTCTAAACAACTCTATATGTTTTGCAATAGAAGAAAAAACTATCAAGGTTGTATTTTAATTCGATACAAGCTTAATTAAGATGACATTGTCATATATTATTACCAACATTTTATATTATGGATTTCATTGTGAACAAAAAATAGATTATATATTTTAAATTTGAGTAAATTGCACCTAGGTCCTTAAACTTTTGGTTGATTCCCGTCTGGGTCCTCAAACTAAAAATGTTACCATCTGGGTCCTGAATCTATCTGTCCTGAGCACCAAAGGTCCAAAACACGCCACGCGTGCGCTAGAAGCTGACGTGGACATGCCACCTAGGAGAGACTGGATGCAGGCCCATTGCCGACTTTGCAAAAAAAACCCTACTCTAATTCTAAGTCTCACTCCTAAGCCCATCATCTCTCTCTCCACACACACACACTCTCTCTCTCTCTGTATGCTCAAGCGTCGAGCCGCCTCTTGCTGCCCCAACGTCGTCGTGAGGTCAGAGCTCCACCTCAACGGAACAGCAGGAGCTTCCAGCGTCGCGCACGCTCATGTAAGCTGAGCCTGGGTGGAAGAACACCGAAAATATTGAACACCGGGAGTGAACAGTTCAAGCACAACCCATCAAATATGGTGTTGTTGGCGGAGCCGCGGAGCAGGAGCGTGCCGACCGTGGCATGGCAGAACACGACCTTCTTGTGCCCGCGCAGCACGCCTCCGTGGACCAGGTGGTGGTCGCCTTCCTAGAAGTTGACTAGCCCGTCGGAGGAGCCACATTAGAGCACCAGCACGACGATGCTCATGGTGAGCATGTTCACCGTGTGCTCTTGCTTCAGCAGAGTCTACACAGG